TGAAACACTCTGCAGTGTATTTCCTGGGATAAGATAAGTTGCAGCCTCCTCCATTCAAGACCCAACGAACAAAAAGAATAAAGTGGAAAACACCAGGAGGTTTTGAAAGTGACTCTGTCGACAGATAATCAGGGACACACTTCTTGACCTTCTAAACAATGCAATTTGGGGATTCATCTTCTTTAGAACAGAGTGAAACCTTTGTCTGTTAGGATGTTTTAACTGGGCTAGACAAAGAGGGCACTGTTTCAGAAATGTCCTGTGTTGTATTAAAGTACATACAGTACAGAATGGTCTGACAGGGATCCCTGGGGGAAAGAACTGGGTGACCTACAACTTTTTTATACTTGTGGACTGTTGCTATCTTAAACATTCTGCTGCAAGCAGCAATTCCCTGAGGAATGGGGAACTGAAATACAACAGGTGGCTTGGCTGGCTCTCTCCAGCAGATGTAGAAAAAGCATGCCAAATGTTCTGTCACCAACGTCACCCAGCTTGCACGCATTCTCATTCTCTCTCTCTCTCTCTCCCCTCTCTCTCTCTCTCTCTCTCTCTCTGGGGCAGGTGGGTGTGTGTGCCTCTGTTCACCTACAATTGTTCTCTTGCCTTGCATATCCGGCAGGGCATACATAGACAAAGTAAGGAAGAAGGCTTTACTGCTGTGTTTAGAGTTCCCCTTAAAGCAAGCCATAGCAAAAGGACCATTCATGCTTTTCATTTTATCATGGCCCTAATGTTGCACCCAGTTTAGATCTACCTAAAGGCAATCAGGAATAGAAACCTCAATAAGAAACCAAGTCATCCTGCACTATATCAACAACACTCATGTAAGAATAGGTTTACTTAGGAATAATTCAATTCTCTGATCCTGAAAACAAGCAAAAATAAAATAAACTCCCAGAAAGACAAACTAAGCTGAGATTATACTACTATCTATTATAGTTTCATATATATCTTATAACATCAGACCCTAAGAAATGTCTAGAGATGATTCTGGAAACAGAAAATTAGTGTGGGGGTGGGGAAGAGAAGGGAGAGGAAGCATACAATTCCACTTTATTAAGTGTCACTGTGTTTTGACTGAATGCTAGCACACTCTAGGCAAAATATTGTCCCTTCCCTCAAGGGGATTTATGCTTGATAAAGGAAATATACACGTATATACAACCAGTTATAAACCAAGTACTTTCCTTATTATGGAAAAAAAGGCATGATAACCAAAAGAAGAAAGAATTCTGATTGTGAAGCAATGGCTAGTGTCATCAGAGAAAGCCTCACCTCACAGAAGGAGGTAGAGGACGACAAAATTGTAAATACATTTTTGTCACTTGGAAGAAATTAAAGCTCAAGGAGATAAAATAATCTACCCAAGAGAGCTGAGCTATGAGACAGAACTTACGCCCAGGTTTCTTTGTATTTAATGTCTGTCCTGCCCTTTCCTCCATACCAAAGAGGTGATCCTACAACCCATCTACCAGGGTGTGGAAAGTTTTAAGGAATGGAGATTGAGAGATCAACATGAGTAAAGACACAGGGCATGAAAGTACATTGCAAATTTGAGGAGGGTGGAGTATCACATGCATGAGTAGACATGGAAGAAGAGATTAGAAACATTTTCAAGTCAAAAATGTAGAGAAAAAAGTTCAAACCTTGGAAAAATATTAAACCATAGGTTATTCTCCTAGTTACTTAAATATGTCGCCCTTCCCTCAAATCAAATGAAATTTAAGAAAACTCCATGATATGGGAGGCATATTATTTCAGATACTCAGTAATAGCTGGATGACTAGAATTGTTCCTGTTGTTGCTGCTGCTGTTTTTAACAATCAGATGTCAAATGGACTATTCCAAAGTTTGATTTACATGACACGAAGAAAGATTAAGGGAGGAGGAAGAAGATAATGGAAAAATAGAGTACACAGGAATCATATCCACAAGTTATCTTAAATCCATATATTTTTATAGTCTTCAAAGCAAAATTTTTCAAGAAATAACAGAAAAATTAAACTCTCTTTGGCTGCTGCTAGAAATTCAACTTAAACGGAACTTTCATCAAATTCAATCTAACTCCTTGGGTTCTCAAAAGACCTGATCTCAGGACTCAGTTTATTCTCAGAGAGGAAGTGTACAGGCGAGAGAGAAGGTATCGTGGGAAGAATCACTATGTTCCTAAATTTGTATATATGAAATTCATGAAGTTTGTATACCTTAAATAAAATTTTTAAAAAAGGAAGTATGTTGGCCGGCGCCGTGGCTCAATAGGCTAATCCTCCACCTAGCGGCGCCGGCACACCGGGTTCTAGTCCCGGTTGGGGCGCCGGATTCTGTCCCGGTTGCCCCTCTTCCAGGCCAGCTCTCTGCTATGGCCAGGGAGTGCAGTGGAGGATGGCCCAGGTGCTTGGGCCCTGCACCCCATGGGAGACCAGGAAAAGCACCTGGCTCCTGGCTCCTGCGGATCAGCGCGGTGCGCCGGCTGCAGCGGCCGCCATTGGAGGGTGAACCAACGGCAAAGGGAAGACCTTCTCTCTGTCTCTCTCACTGTCCACTCTGCCTGTCGTAAAACAAAAAAACAAATTAGAGACTGGAAGTATGTTTAGTTATAACATCATCATTATCAACCACGTATTTTACAAGACAAAATCTTTCTATATATGATAATGACATTAACTTACCAAATACCCAATTTTCTCTTTCCAAGGATTTTTTTATCAAACAATTAAATCTGAATATATTTTCCTTTGTATGACTTCACTACTTCCAGATTATGGATATTCTTATTTGTATGCCTTATCATCAATATAAAATATCAAACAAAAGTATTTTCTATGTTTCATTGCCAGATTGAGAGAAATCCAGAAATTTACCAAGTTTTAATTGACCCAGTAAATTTAAGATAGAAATAAAAAAGCTGCCTAAACTTGTTCATGCCGAAGATGTATCAAATTCAAATAGAAAGTACACTGACCTATAAAAAGTACTTGTCTTGCTCTAGCAAAGAGGAGTCCTGTGTAAATGGATATCTCTATTTGAACTAAAGTGTACTTTGTTCGAATCAGAACTGATGTATCAGATCGCTTCAATAGTGTTCCTGTTACACAGGAAAAGCATCCTTTTTCCCAGATTTGTATTGCGGGGCACACGGTATTCTATCAAAATCAAGACGCATAAACAAAGAACTTTTTAATACTCTAAAATTGATAAATCTCTCAAGACAGATGACAAAAAATATAATTTGCTGCAGCTGTCACTCTCAAAAATACTGTCCTAATAATAAACAGAGGCAGATATTATGGCACACTGGATGATGTCACTACTTGGGATGCCTACTTTTCATATAGAAGTGTGTGGGATGGATTTCACCTCTACTTCTGATTCTACTACCTGCACCTTGGGAGGCAGCAGGTGATGGCCCAAGTACTTGGGTTCCTGCCACCCACATGGGGGAATTGGGTGGAGTTTCTAGCTCTTGGCTGCAGCCTGGTCCAGCCCCCACTTGCTGTCGCTCTCTCCTCCCTTTGCTCTTTCTTGTTCTGCTTTTCAAATAAATAAACTTTAAAAAAAGTTCAAAATGGATTTTATACAGTCTTGCATCGCAGAATTTCAAGAATCCAAAGGTGCTATGAGTACCGAAACTCAAAGATTATCAATTCTATCAAGCCTATGACCTTGTAAGAGACTTTAAAAAACATTAGGAATCTAAATTTTCATTTAGCATTCTTTCAGGATAACTTTCTTTCACTTCCCCTTTGCCTTTGTTCTGCCTACACCAAAGTAAAACATTGTAAAATGTCTCTTTAAAATTCAGTTTAATGGGCTGACTTTTTGGCATAGTGGGTTAAGCCACGGCCTGCAACACCAGCATCTCATATGGGCACTGGTTCATGTTCTGTCTACTCTGCTTCCTGTCCAGCTCCGTGCTAATGAACCTGGAAAAGCAGTTGAAGATGGCATGCGTGCTTAGGCCCCTGCCCCCACATGGGAGACACAGATGAGGCTATTGGTCCCTGACTCCTGGCTTTGGCCTGGCTCACCCACAGCCATTGTAACCATCTGGGAAGTAGACCAGAGATGGAAGATCTCTCTCTCTCTGTCTCCCCCAACCTCTCTGTAACTCTGCCTTTCAAATAAATAAAATAAATCTTTAAATAAAAACTCAGTTCAAGAGTCATCTCTGTGACAAGTCTTCCTTTAACTATGTGCCATTGAAATGTCTCTCCCCTGTGCACCTATGGCCTCTTCTGCACAACTCTAAAGTTGCATTTACATACTCTAAGCTATAGTGTTTGATTTACTGTTGACAACAAGGAGCATGAATTATTCCCATTGTCTAGCTGAGTATCTGGGACAACCAGCTATCCAATAAATTTTTTTCAATTAATAAGTGACAAATAATTTCTATTTATACAGTAAGATAATTCCACATAAATGTTCAAAATTGTATCTTCTGACATTTCTATTTATTCTTTGTCCTACATTTTAATATACAAAGATATTCTAATTTTAGTTTTTGTGCATATTCTGGATTTCAACATCAGAATTTTCATCAGGTAACATATGTCACCAAAAGAGTTTAAACAAAAAGAGTATACATATATTTTACCTAACTACTGCCTGAAAGAATGGCATGGGTTTATGAACACAGTGATACATTTATATTCTGAAACTCAGTGATTGTGTTCTACTATGACTTGGGTATATAATTCTTTCTTCAAGCAAAGGGCTGTCAATAGGCAGCTTCCAAAAATAATGAATGTTTGCAGTAATAATTTCATGGGTTGACTGGAACTTAATAGCCTTTATTTCCAATTTAGCTTTGTGATATGTTCCAGTAGAAACAGTCTCAAATGAAATATAGTCTATTACAATGCTATTTAACCCTCTATTACTTTGTTAATCCTTTACTGGTGTATTTTGTGTTATGTTTACAGCTGTGGCAGACTATTAGACACCCCACTTTTTACTTTGCTGCATCTATCTTAGCATTTATCAATCCACTATACCTTATCCAGAAAGGGGCTGTCCTTTGATTCATTATCTGAGTAATAAAGACTCTTCGTTCATCTCTCGACAGCCAACCTCCTTCTAGATCCTCTTACTATTGAAGCATCACATCCAACAGAGGAAACAGAAAGATAAAATCCGTATTAGTTTGTCCCGGCTACTGTCAGGAGATTAAACTGGGGAAAATATTAAAAATCTAAAATAAATAAATGGCTTTGGTATGCATAGTTATGGACAAGTTTGACTGCCAGGAACACAGAATTCAGTGGTTTTAAATTTGCAAACTCCACATGTATTGAGACAATTAAGCTTGTTATTATGCACATAGTACAAGCTTTACATTCTGGAGGGGAAAATAATGAGATAAAAACTAGGGTAGTATTGAGATCACGGGGTTTCTAAGTATTTGACATACAGCAGAGCATTCCTGCAAATAATGTATTTTTTTCAGAGATATATAACAAATTCATTTCAGATGGTTTTGCAAAAACTACACATAATTGGTGTGTATCCTGGGAACACAGGGAAGAAACAGATCAAAAGTTCCAGAGGTTGGCCAGCACCGTGGCTCACTTGGCTAATCCTCAGTCTGCGGCACCAGTACCTTGGGTTCTCGTCCGAGTTGGGGAGCCAGATTCTGTCCTGGTTGCTCCTCTTCCAGTCCGGCTCTCTGCTGTGGCCCGGGAGGGCAGTGGAGGATGGTCCAAGTGCTTGGGCTCTGCACCCACATGGGAGACCAGGAGGAAGCATCTGACTCCTGCCTTCAGATCAGCGCAGCACACCGGCCGTGGCAGCCATTTGAGGGGTGAACCAATGGAAAAAAGGAAAACCTTTCGCTCTCTCTCTCTCTCTCTCTCTAATGGCTAACTCTGCCTGTATAAAAAAAAAGAGTTCCGAGGGGGCCCAGACGAACGATTTAAAAGAATAAATATACGAGGACGTCAGGAAATTGCTTTTTATTCCACCTGGACATTATCAGTAGTTTTATTGATGGGTCCGAAGAGATCATGAGAGATGAGCGAGG